CTATAAAAATAGATTAAAAGGTTCTTAACCCTGAGATTAATACACTTCAAATTAGTAACTGTTATCCTTGAGAGGGCCTCATACCAAGTTTTTCACTCCTTTTATAAGGAGATGAAGAGTGAATTTTCCATCTCTGCCAAAGCTAAAAACTTGTTCCTCTCACTGGCTAAGTCTATAACCCAGACACTAAATGTCACTTCATGTCACATTTGTGGGGGGACCAACATGCGAGTCCCCATATATTAAAAAAAAAAGATTAAATAGACAAAAATGGGGTGCCTTACAAATTGGCAATTAAAAAGAAGACAAGTGACCTCCTGAGTCCATTACTCAGTACTCATAGTACTGGACCATCCAGTACTATGGTCCTGCCACCTGGGCAAAAGACAGTCCTAGAGCTATCACACCCCAAAATATATGCTCAACCACATCATCAGGCTGCAGGCTGTTGTTGAAATTATAACTAATAAAACTGCAAGACCTCTCAATTTGCTGACAAAAGAAAGCACCAAGATGTGCAATGGCAGCTTTCAAAACCGCTTGGCTTTAGACTATTTGCTTGTTTCTAAGACAAAAAAAGTTTATAAAAAATTTAATGTAAACAACTGCTACTTACAAATTAATGATTTTTAAAAAAGGTTATAAAAGGGATCATGGACAAAATTTTAAAAACTTGCCCATGTCCCTGTCCAGACTGGAGAGGATGGGATCCCAATGACCTGTTTAAAAGATGGTTTTCTGCTGTAGGTGGATTCAAAACCCTGATAGGGGCAATGGGCCTGATCCTAGGAGCATGCTTAATACTGCCCTGCCTGGTTCCCCTGGTGCTGTGGTTTATCAAAACTATTATAAAGGCCATTATAAGAAAAAAAAAAAAGGCCACACGTGTAATAATGCTATAAAAATACACACCCCTAAATCAAGATGATGCTCTTTGCCCCTAAGTGGGTCCAAGCATCAAAAGGACGAATAATGTAGCAGGGAGGAGGATCAGAAGAAAACAGACTAGGCCTGAGTCCTGAGAAAGTAGCAGGGAGGTAGAGATGGCATAGCAGAGAGATAAAACCTGAGAATCTGAACATGAGGAAGGTCACACAGGACCAGGTAGCAGAAAGTCATGTAGCACTAGGGTAAAGTAGCCAATAAAATTAAATATAACCATACATGGATTAGACCTTGCTTTTTGCTTCTGTGACCTGCTTGCAAGGGTATATAAGGTGAGAAAACTTTGTTCTCGGGGCTCAGCCTTTGGACATGAGTCCACTGAGTCTGTGCTGGCACAATAAACGTTGCTTCCTGCTAATTGCCTCAAGAGTCCCATATCTCAGCTAGCAACCTCCCGTAACAGTTGGAGTTAAGGGGTGGGTCTGTCTTTTTCTTTACAATAAATAACCTTTAGGGGCTCCTATAATGACCCATATACTCCCCACTTGTCTGTAGTCCCTTTTTCCTGGGCCTCTTTTACCAGTCTTTTAGCTCAAGTATAATGAGTCCACCATTTTACAGCAGTTCATACAGCTATCTCAGTGGTCAGGAGCATTTGATAGGGGCCTTCTAGCTGAGCTGGAGCATGTCCTCCTTCCAAGTCTTGATCAGCAGCAGGTCACCAGGCTGGAAGTGATGAACTGTGAATTCAAGAGGCGGGGTCTGCGCAAGGAATCCTTTTAGCCTGAGGAATGACAGGGTATAAAATATGCCAATATATACTTCCTTAAAAACTGATCTTTGTTCTCCATGATAGGAAGATCAGCAGTCCTGCCTAGGTATGGGAGCCCATAGAACATTTCATAAGGGGACAGTCCCACATCTTTCCTTGGGGCTGTCCTAATCCTAAGGAAAGTTGTTGGGAGTCATTTGTCCAGGGCAGTTTGGTTTCAAGGATCAGTTTGTTGTTTTTAAGGGTCTGATTCATTCTCTCCAACTTTCCTAAGGAAGAGGGATATGCCAGGGAGTGTGACAGTCCAAACTCTCCATGATTCCCCTCAACACCTTTGAGGGAAAGTGACCCCAGCTGTCTGAGTCAATTATTTTCCACCAGACTAAACCTAGGTACAATCTGGTCTAAGACTATTTTGATGACGCTCCCTGCTGTGGCAGTCCAGAGGAGGAAGGCCTCCAACTGGCCAGTAAAATGGTCCATATTACCAGTAGGCATCTTTGTCATCCCACCCTAGGTTTCTCTGTGAAGTCTATGTGAATGCTCTGAAATGGTCTTAACCCGGTGGTCTTCCCCCTTTCATCTGTCTCCTTACCACCTTTTTTGTTTATTCTTTGGTGAGTCACACACTTCCCCACCCACCTGTTTAGCATTGGCATAAACACCCACACACCCATAATTCCTGAGTATTGCATCACACATAGATTGGGGACCCCAAAGACTCCCCCTGTGCAGTGTGGACATCAGCTCCCATTATGGGCTTGCTTATCTCCTTCTTCCATCAGGGAGCACCCAGTTTTTATCTCCTATTTTAGTTGCTCCCATTTTGTATAACTTGTTTTTCTTTTGTGCCCACCATTTATATCTAACTGCTACCTATCATTCCCCACTCAAGGACTAGAGACTCTGAAATCTTTTAGGGAAAGGGGGAGCAGTATTTCACCACTAGCTGCTTCCTGTTTACATGGAACAGAGTTATAAGTCAGGAGTCTCTGGCCCTTGCTCTGCATGGGCAGCCAGTGACAGTGGGAGGTGCAGGAGCATGGACCTGCAGCCAGCGAAATTGCCCATCAGGATGTGGTCGTAGATAGACGTTTTTGGGGAGTTTGATTGTAAATGCCTTAGAGAAGAATCTAAGCTGTAGATGACAAAGTATTTAGGCCAGTTATTCTTAGAATGTTTTTAAATGTTTAGCAACTGACAAACCAATTTTTATTGCATAAAGCATTTTAAGATAATAATTCTGACAGACAGCATTAATTAGTACCATTAAGTTCTCCTTATCTCTCAAGTATATATTTAAAGCTCATATTTTAGTGTTAAAATGACATAATATACATCTTATTAATAGAGTAAGTCCCCTTTAAAATTTACCTTCAGAATAAATGAATTTCAAATAAGGTATAACATGCTTTTTATTACACATGTACTTTGTGAGTGCATCTCTAATACTTTATGTCCAATTCTTAGTTAAATGGCACTGTTTTTGATTTTAGAAAACAGTGCCATTTAACATTTAGAGATGGCAACAATTAGCATCACAGCTGCACCAATGTCATATATAAATTTAGATTTTACTTTTTGAGTAGAATTTAAACTCATTGGCTAAGTATGATACTGTGTAGCACTAACAAAAATATCAAAGCTTTTAGACCTCTTACAAGCTTAGGAAAGACAGTGCCAGTGCCCCAAATAGCCTTGTTTGCTATTGACCGAGTGCTGGTCACTTTGCATTAACCTTACATAACTTCAACCCTGTAGACTTTTGTACAGCATTTAAATCAAGTTTAGACATATAGCCCACACATTTTAAGGGTGTTAAATATATTAATATCATTGAAAAGACACATACTTAAATAAACTGATTTAGTTACGACTCAGTTTCCTAAAGTCAAAATCCTGATTGATTTCACAAGCAATTATCTTGATAAAACAAAATCTCTCCTATAAGCCAGTTTAGCCAATATTATTAAGAGCAGAATATTATCAGATAAAATGAGGTGCTGGCTTTATACTACTTTATTAAACTTTGACTTTAGGAAATCATTTAGATAACCTTTTAAATTATAGACATGTTAGTTACATACATGAACTTTTTATGAGCTTCATCTTTTATATACTTAAGACTACTCACCAATTTTGTTACCTGTTGAACATTGAGGTTTGTCTCTTTTTATTTTGGAACAAGCCTTTAAGACAAATCTTACCCTATATCTAAAAGTCATACACTTTTACCATTAACCTCTTTTTTTTCCCCAAGAACACCCAATACCACTTTATATTTTTTTTACTTGCTGAAATCTTTTAATGTTTATTAATTTTGTGTATGTGTGTGTGTTGCACTGAGGCTTGAATTCAGGGCCTTCACCTTGAGCCATTCTGCGAGCCCTTTTTTTGTGTTTTGTTTTTGTCTTTTTGTCATAGGGTCTTGCAAACTATTTGCCCAGGCTGGCTCTGAACCAAGATCCTCCTGATCTCTGCCTCTTGAGTAGCTAGGATTACAGGCGTGAGCCATCAGTGTCTGGCTGATGAAATGTTTAAGAATTTAAATAAAATTGTTTGTTTTCCAATAGAATAAAGTATTTTTAATCTTATTTTATGAAGACAAACAATTTTATTTTTTTAATGACAATTTATGAAAACACATTTGCTAGGTAACCCAAATATTTTAAGAGTAGGATCTGAATTAAATTCCCATAAAATGAAACACATTAAGGTCATTTGTCCACATACATTTAAGCAGTTTAAATAGCTTCATTTAAAAGACAAGTTTACTTTAAACCTAACCTTAAAAGTTACCTCTTGAATATCTGTTTTTTTGTTAACCTTGAATATCACATTAACCTTATAACAGAAGTTTAAGAACATTTTTGAAGTTTATACACACACACACACACTTTTTTAAATAAATTAAGCATGCCCCCAAAAAAATGTCACTTTAAGCATGCATAGGATGAGCTGGAATTCCAGGAGCAATGTAAATTTTGCCCAGTGCTGTTTTGGAATTTATTTTGTTAGTGGTTACCTTGGTGACTGAAGCAAAAGTGAATCTCTTAACAAGACTTTTGTGGCAGCCTTTGGAATTTTAGCCTCCATTAAACCAATCACAAACACAAGACCAACAGACAAACAAAATGACACATTAAAAAAAAAAATTAGAGTGGACTCTCAAAAAACCTAAACCGTAGATGTAAGTTAGAATTTTCCTCAGGCCAGCAACAAGCTAAGCTCATGGCCTTTTATTCTTATGCAAATCACAACAGATCTCCTTAAACCTTACACAAGAGCCTCACCACCACGGACCTGCTGTCCTGCTGTCCTGCTGTCCTGCTGCGACCTGCAGGACCCGAGCACGCTACAGCTGGTCATCACCAGCCACCTGCCCTGGTCCCTGGCCAGCATCGGGCCAAGGTCCCGTCATCATCGCCCGAGCCCCATGGACACAGCTGGCTGCCAGCTGCAGAAGAGGCAGCAATGGGGTCCGGATCACCGCGTAAATTAAAAGGTAATTCTGCTTTTACCCGAAGTTCCTCGTCCCTGACGAGCCTTGGCGGCCCAGGTCACCCGGGGCACGGGAAGGGCCCAGAGTGTGCTCCGCCCACGGGCTCTCGGGGCCCAGGCCACGGGTCTCAAATGGACGACTCAGTCCCCCTGGGGCACTCGGTGAGGTCTGGGGACATCTGGGACAACTGAGGAGCTCCTGGCATGGAGTGGCTGTAGGCCAGGGATGCCGCTCAGGGCCCAGGACGCCCTGTAGAGAATAGCCCACCGCAGTGCACCAAGTGAGAGGAGGGAGACACTGACCCTGCAAGGATGAAAACCAGCCTGCTTATATAGCCAGGGAGGGGCGTGGCATGGCGTGCCCTCTATATCCACCAGTCACAGCCTTGCTTGTGCATGCCTTCAAGGTCCACCAATCACAGGCCTCGTATGTGCACCAATCACAGCCTTGCTTGTGCATGCCTTCAAGGTCCACCAATCACAGGCCTCGTATGTGCACCAATCACAAACAGGTGGCGCATACACGCCAATCACGCTTTTTGCTGAGTCACTAGAGGCGCTCCCTCTCCGGTCCTGAGTGATACCTGGGAGCAGCGGGGTCACCCAGGGGTCACCGGCTCGTCCCGACACTCTGGGTCCCTGTGACCGGAGGACCCTGAGCAGGAGCCATGGCTGCCACATGATCCTCACAGCTGGAGCGCAGCTGGCGCAGGGTGCCTGCCATGATGATGTCAGTCAAAGAAGGGGCTGCCGGGTTGACCGCGCCCTGCTCCAGGTGCCCGGCACAAGAGGAGGGTCCGCCAGCTGTCAATCAAGCGCCCTGCGGCCAGCTGTCAATCAAGCGCCCTGCGGCCAGCTGTCAATCAAGCGCCCTGCGGCCAGCTTCGCTAAAAACGTCAAAAGGAGCTCACGGTAAAGACCTAACAGGAAAGTTTCATTCTCAACAGTACTTCAGCGTGCTTAACCCCTAGACAAATGCCTCAGGGAGAACTGGGTCCCTCTGATCTGTCTCTCCTTATGTTAGGACATAAACGGGACGGATGGAACACTGACTCATCGCCACCTGTCCTTCCAGACCTCCCAGGTCCTCGCCCCACCGACTTTTGCGCTTCTCGCGCGCCCCCTGCCGGCTGGCGACTCCGCCACCTCAAGCCGGTATCAGGCTCGCTCGGTCGACTTAGCTCCTGATTGGTCGAGTGCCCTCTGAGAAATGTAATCCTTTGGGGCCATCGCGAGAGCTTCCTGTCGGCTCCAGCATAGTGACAGCAACAGAAAGTACGTCACCAAACTTCTCCAGGTCGCACAAGGTATCGCGTTAGCGTGGCATGGTGGGAGTTGTAGTACTTCCTGTCTCTTTTTGCTGAGATTGGAACTCCGATTCCCATCATGCAGTTCGCAGCGGCTGCCCCTCTACCTTATGGGGAATGTAGTCTGCCACCCACGCCGTTCCCTCCGTGCGCCATGGAGAGGTACTGAGCCAGGACTCCATATCCCAGCAGGCTCGCTTCCATCTGTCACGACAGCCATTTTGTCCCTCCCGGAGAGTCCTTAAGATGGCGGCGGAGGAGATGGTGAAGATTGCCGGTGGCCTGTCGGAACTCTGATCTCCGTCTCTCTTTCCCCCACGTGACCAGCCCATGGCCTGACGGAGGTGCGGACCATGGACCGCCACACCGCCGTGGACAGTGCCGCTCACGACGGCAAGCTGCAGCTGTTGCTGGGCTGCAACGCGCGCATGGAGCGCGACGGCTACGGCATGACCCCGCTGCTGGCCGCCAGCGTCACGGGCCACACCAGCATCGTGGAGAACCTCATCCAGGAGCAGCCCGGACGGCCGCGGGTGCCGGGCGGCTGCTCCCCCGACGGGCCCTACGAGAGCTGCTGCCCCACCAGCCGGGAGGCGGCTGCCTGTCCTGCTCGGAGATGCTCTGTTCCTTCAAAGCCCATCTGAACCCCCGGGATCGGGTGAGCTTCTGGGATCTTTGGGGAAAGATGCCACCTTTGAGGTGCGCTGCCACCAAACGGCGGCCTCCCAGGCATCCATTACAAAGATGAGGTCTGGGGTGAAGATCAAGGGTGGTCATCTAGGCTTCCCTACCTCCCGGGGTCATCTTCTCATGCCACCTCACCCCCCACTTCCTCCTCCCTACCAGTCGGGCGCCACGCCCCTCATCATAGCAGCTCAGATGTGTCACACAGATCTGTGCCGCCTCCTCCTACAACAGGGGGCTGCTGCAAATGACCAGGACCTGCAGGGCAGGTGAGCACCTCCGTCTCAACCCGTCCATCACGTCCTGTGTGACCCTGGGCAACTTCTTAACCTCTCTGAGTGGGGAACCTAGTCGCCTCCTCCTCCCAGCCCGAGCGTGGGGGCTTGGGGACGTCCTCACCTCTTCAGCACCCCCCTTCCCCGCAGGACAGCCCTGATGCTGGCCTGTGAGGGGGCCAGCCCCGAAACCGTGGAGGTGCTGCTGCAGGGCGGGGCCCAGCCAGGCATCACAGACGCACTGGGCCAGGACGCAGCTCACTACGGAGCCCTAGCGGGGGACAAACTCATCTTGCACCTCCTGCAGGAGCAGCCCAGCGCCCCTCACCTCCCAGCGGTATGCGAGCCCCTCTCCCCCGTCTCTTTCTGGGCAGTCTCTGGTCACCCCTCTTTTTCTCCATTGCGGGTAGTCTCAGGGTACCTCTGTCTGCTGTTTTGTGGGAGGTTTCATGGCTCCCCTGAGCAGGGCAGTTTCAAGGGAGCCCCAGAGCATGTAGACTAGCCTGGGGGTCCATTCTGATTTCCTGGGTATCCTTTGTCTTAGGGCTTTGCCTTTCCTGAAAAGTGGCAGCCCCCACTCCACCCCACCTTGGAAGCGCCCTCTGTCTCTCTCTCTTTTTCTCTCTGAGGGTCAAGGCCCTTCCTATCAGCATTCTTCCAGTGGTGGGTTCCTATCTTAAAAGCCCTGCTGCTAGGGCCGGGCATGGTAGTATACAGCTGTAATCCCAGTCCCCAGGAGGCTGAGGCAGGAAGATCTCGAATTCCAGGTCAGACTGGATTACATAGTGAGACTCTGTCTCCAAAAAACAATCAAAAGAGTCCCTGATTCTTGGGGGCATCGGGAGCCCCGCTGCAAGTCCCCTGGGCTCACTAGTGCCCCTCTAGGAGCTGGGAATGGAGTCCTTCGACTCTAGTGCCTGACACTGCTTTCCTTTCCCCTCCCTCCTAGAGGACGACTCTGGCGAGGCCTCATCCCAGGTATGGATCCTAAGGAGTGATGGAGTTGCGCTCCCCGTGTGCACACTCGCTTCCCCTGTCCCCAAGTTCTGCCCCATGGTTGCCTGGAAGGACCTGTTCGCAAAGAATGTTACCGTCCGGGTACACTTGCCAGCTAGTGCGGCCTCACACCTGTGACCCTAATCTTCCTGTCATCCTCCTCATACTGTGGTTCTGTCCATCATCAGCTCAGGAGCTGATGGAGAAAGTCCAGGTGGGTAAACCGAGGCCCCAGACAGATATGAGGACCTGGGGGCTTGTTCTCAGGGTCAGGATGGGCAGGGAAGGTGGCGTGAGTGCCCTGTGCCCCCAAAGCCACTTCATCCCCCTCTGCCTGCCTCCCTCCCCCAGATCCTGGAGGAGTTGGAGAAGGACGAGGTGCAGATGGAGGGGAGTGGTCTGCCCGAGGGCGCCAAGACCACCCAAAACGGACCGTGCAGTGCAGAGCTGAACGACAGCGTGGCTCTGGAAACCAAAGTTAACGGAGTTGAGATGAGAAGGATGGAGAAGTTGACACCAGAGAAGCCAGGACTGTAGCAGCAGTGTCCCCAGAGCCCGAGGCCACAGAAACAAAAAACACGGGTGCAGAGGCCACAAAATTGGGGTGATGGTAGTTGAGGCTGTGGAATCAAAGACCACAGACAAGACAATTGATATTCAGAATGGTAAAAAGCCTTGATTAAAGGAAGCTGGAAGGTGGATCCCAAGGTTGTTTTTCCTTTTTTTTTTTTTTTTTAAGACATGGTCTTGCTGTGTAGCCCAGGCTGGTCTGGCACCGCCATTCTCCTGCCTCAGCCTCCCGAGTGCTGGGATTACAGGAGTGTACCACCATGCCCAGCTGACTTCAAGCTCTTACCTGCAGCATAACCAGGCCTCAGATTTCATATTCTTCAGTGCGTCTTCATTACAGATCTCCAAGGCCCTGGAGGCTTTGGGGAGTCAATCCTGCAGCCCTGACCCCTCACAGCTGTCCACAACCTTCCTTTTCCAGAATCCCGTGGAGAAACAGGTCTCACGAATACCTCTTTTATAGCTAGACCAAGCTGGGGTGAGACATCTGTTATCTCAGTCCCATGGGAGGCAGCTCCTCAGAGACTCGGGAGCAGCCACATGACTGGCTTTGGCTCAGAAAGGGACCAGGGTAGGGCAACTTCACCCACAGCCCAACCTTGCTCCAGACCCTCCCACTTCTGGAACCTGTTTTCTGTAGCTCACAAGCAACACCCTTCCCAGCCTGATCACTTTCCAGGGAGCCCTCCTGGGTTGCTGTGGGCCTCATAGCTCTGTTGTCCCAAAAGTGTCCAGGCTTCAAGCCCCAGATTGTCCTCCTGCCTGGTCTCTGGATGGACAGAAGTCCCCGTCACCCTGGGGTTCTGTTCACACACAGACTGCAGAGCAGGGGCTCAGCCCCGTACCCCATTTCCTCCCGGGTAGGCTGGGCTGTCCCCAGCTCCAGGATGACTTGCGACATCCTTTTTGCCTTCCTGGTTGGCAACCCCAGAGTGGAGATAGGAAGGTGCAGGGCTGTAGTGCAACCTTCAGCATCCCTCAGACCCCAAGACCTGGTCAGCGCCCCTTTAAATCCCCTATGGAGGGGGCGCATTCTCCCAGGCAGCCCCATTGTCCCAGAGAGGCCCATCCAGCTCCTGTTCCTCTGTGCTCCAGGGCCAGGGGATTCCAGTGTGGGGAGTTGCCCCAAAGTTTCCAGGGGGCATTGGGGCCTGGCAGGAGTGAGGGGCAGGGCAGGGATCCCCAGGGCTGCTCACGGTCACTCACCTGAACAGGAGCAGCCACCCTGCAGTGTGCACTCCTGCCACTGGCCTTCCCGTGCACACAGCAGGTGCTCTCTGGCTGCGTGGGGCGCGTGCATGGCAGCTGTGTCAGGATGAGTGGGTCCAGGTCCTGACACCCTGTGAACATCTTCCTAGGACCCTCCATCCCCTTTGTCTTGGGAACGCTGTTGTGACTGCTCCCCAAGTGCTGCAAATTGCCCCATATAGAACCTTATGGAAACTGTCACCTCCTGTGCCTACCCCTCAGGTGCCCAGGCCATCATCTGCTCCTGGACAAATGCCCAATCCAACCCTCCAGGTCCAGTCCCCTGGTGGCCCAGCTGAACCACTGGTGCTTGGAACCTCCTGGGGCTTCCTGTTACCCTGTGAGACATCCTGTGAGATCTGTCTGCCCCCCACTTTCCCCCTGCCCCTCAGTTTCCATCCCAGGGCTACCTCCCTTTGCTCTTCCTCACACAGACTGTCCCTCCCGCCCCCCATCTTCATCCCTGGGCTGGGAAACAGGTTCCCTTGTGGGCTAAGCCAGGGCAGAAGTGGGATCAGGGCCTGTGATCCTAGGGAGGCAGAGATCAGGAGGATCCCAGCTTGAGGACCCTATTGCAAAAAAAAACCCTTCACAAAAAGGCTGGTGGAGTGGCTTAAGGTGAAGGTTCTGAGTTCAAACCCCAGTACCACACACACAAAAAAAGTGGGACCACAAGTGGGGTGTACAGACTCCCCAGGATAGAGCCTGCCCAGCAACAGCCCAGAGCCCAGCATGGGAGGTGGGAGCAGAGTAGATGGTAGGGCTCCCCCAGATCACACAGTAACATAGGCCCAGAGTCACTGCAGGGACTCAGTTCTAAACTGGACTTTGCTCCTTGCTACATCTGACTGTCAGGAGATGGGCACTTCTCTCCCATTTCACAGATGAGCAAACAGATGTGCAGGCTCAGTTTGTCCTGAGGGATTGGTGGGACCCAGCTCTGGTGGCCAGGAGCTTGCACAGGTTATCTTGCACTGTCCCCCCATCCTCCCCGCCCTCTGCAGCCTCCAGCAGGAGCTTCGATGGTGGCTTGGCATTAGCTCTGCCACCTGTGACTCAGACAGGCTCAGTCTCAGGCTGTTCTGTTGTCCCTGAGGCTCAGAAACTGCATCCTGGAGGGCCCCAGGCCAGGCTCCCCCCATGGAACCAGGCAGGAGATGGGCGATTCCCTTCCTGGCTGCAGAAAGGTCTAGAAAAAAGGACATAAGGACCCTTTCTCCAGGGTCCCTCATGCCCAACCCTGGCCAACACGAGAAAGGGTTGACTGCTACCGCTGTGCTGTGTGACCTCAGGCAGGTCACCTCCCCTCTCTGAGTCTCTGGGACTCATACATGCTGCTCAGGGCCCTTGGGGGAAGGTATTCATTGTCTGCTGTGTACCAGGCTCAGCAATGGAGACAGGAAATACTGCAAGGGACAGAGGCTTGGCAGTAGGCTGTGGGGGCAGACCCATGATGTAGGCACAAGACAACAGACACTGAAGCTGGGAGGAAGAGGGACATCCCCAAGGAGAACCAGGGACATTAGCTGGTCACCTGGTTTCACATCTAGTTCCTGCCCCACCCTGGCTCTGTGATCCTGGAGTGCTCCATCCCCTCCAGCCTCCTCATCCATGTCCGTGAAAGGGTGATTAGAAGAGCCCCCAGGTACCAGGCTGTCCCTTCAATGACAGAGAGGACAACAGGGTGCTTCGTGGCTCAGTCCAGCTTGTGGTTATTGCTCCAGAAATGTGACTGGAGGGAAGAGAAGACCTTGAGGTTGGGCTCCAGTCTCCTACCACAGGGCCTTTGCATGGGCTGCTTCATCTGCTGAGAATGCCTGTCCCCACTTCCCACCCACCCCTTGCTTCCCTTTGAGTCACAGCTCCACCAGGGCCTCCTTCTGTCCTTATTCCCAGCCTCCCAACAATTTCCTAAGATACTCTGTAATTTACCCCTTTATCCTGTTTGTACTCTGCCCACCCCCCTTCTTTATTGCTGTGTCTCCAGCACCCAGCACACAGTTGGCATTCAATAAATGCCTGTTCAATGAATGAATAAATGATGCTGTGGTGTTGAGGGAGGCAGTTTGCTCTGGGAGTAGGGGGTCTGATTAGGGAAGTGGCCCCCACAAGCCTGGTTTCCCTCACTCAGGAGTTTCTGGTTCCCTGAGACCATGGCCTCCTTTCCCTTCTTCCCTTGGCTAGTCTGTCACTTCCTGTCTCCAGTGGCAGTGGCTGGGGACAGAGATACACCTGGACCTTAGTAGATGCTCGGGTGAATAGATGGTGGGAATTCTGTGACTGCCAGCAGAACCAGGGAGGTGGGTGTGAAGTCCAGTGGCCCAGCTGGATCACTGGGTGACCTTGGGGAGTCCCTCACCCTCTCTGGGACCCGTATACCCAGTGGGTCTCTCAGGCTTCTCAGAGTTGTCTTGGTGGAGTGCAGCGTGGGAAGAACTGGAACAGGGTTACAGCCTCCCAGGCAATGGGGTGGGAGTAGCTGGTTGCCAAGGTAACAATCACCAGTCAGGGGCTGTTGCCAGGAGATGGACCACCTGGGAAGAAGGGGCCCTCTGCAGATCAGCAAGTCAAGCCGTGGGGAGCAAGGTCACTGACTGCTCCTATGTGGGGAGTGGAGGAGGGTGTGTGGTTAGGGGCTCCCGGTTCCGAGTCCTCCAGCAGGGCTTTGATGTGGGAGTGATTATATCTAGAATTAAAACCCCCCACCCTCTCTCTCCAGTGTGATGTACAGTGAGCAGAGGGAGGCTGTAGGGCAGGTGACGTGGGAGCAGTGGTGTGGCCTCTGACAAGTGTCTCCCCCTCTGTAGTCGGGAAGTGCTGTGGTTGGCAGAGAGCCTCAAGTAGTAAGAGCACCTGCCTTGCAAGAGTGAGGCCCTGACTTCAAACCCCAGTGCCATCAAAAAGAAAGAAACACATAGAGTTATTTGAACTCTGGGTTCCAGATGACTCAGGCCAAGCCCCAGCTTAGCTAGCTACAAGCTGTGTAACCTTAGGCTAGTGACTAACTTCTCTGAGCCCAATATCCTCAGCTGTAAAACGACTTCTTATGCTTTGGGGAGAGGAGTTAAATGGCATATGATAACAACTGGGTATTTGGAGAGTTATGTACAGCAAGGAAAGGTGATATTGGAGGAGTTACTCAGACTTTATGTAAAGGGAAGCTGAACCAGGTACCAGTGACTCAAGCCTGTAATCCTAGCTACTCAGGAAGCAGAGATCAGGAGGGGATCAAAGTTTGAGGCCAGCCTCGGCAAAATGTTAGCAAGACCCCCATCTCAACAAGTAAAGGCATATGCCTGTAATCCCAGTTATGTGGGAGGCATAGATAGGAGAATCAGGATCTGAGGTGGCCCAGGCACACAGCAAGAGACGCTACCTAAAAAATAACAGAAGTATAAAAAGGGCTGGAGGCGTGGCTCAAGTGGTAGAGCACCTGTCTAGCAAGTGTGAAGACCTGAGTTCAAACCCCAGTACTGCACACACAAAATCTCTCTCCTCTGACACACACAAAAAGTAATAGCGCAGCAGGTTCATAACAGGCCTCTAGCCTCTCAGGTTTTTTGTTTGTTTTGAGACAGGGTCTTGCTGTGTAGCCCAGGCTGACCTTAAATTCACAGTCCTCCTGTTTCCAACTCCCCAATGCTGGGATTACAGGTGTGGACTGTTGTGCTCAGCTGTTTGTTTGTTTTCCAGACAGGGTCAGGCTTTGTCACTCAGGCTGGCCTCGAACTCTTGGGCTGCAGCATCCTTCTGCCTCAGCCTCTGGCAATAGCAGGGACCACAGGCACTCGTGTGTATCACCCTCTATATGCGTGGCCAGATCCGATTATTACTATTTGGCTATCATTGCCATGTTCAGAAAGACACAGCTTCTTTCTCCTCCACTCCGGGTCAAGTGGGGTACACTGGCCTCAGAAAACAAGCTGGTAGCTGGGCACAGTGGCGAGTGCCTGCCACCCACAGCTACACAGGGGGCTGAGATCGGGAGGATCACGTTTCCCAGCTTAGCCAGGCAAAAAAAGTTCACGAGATCCCATCTCAACAGAAAAACCTGAGCACGATGGACACGCCTATTACTCCAGCGATGGTGGGAAGTGTAAGATACGAAAACAGGACGGTTGAGGTCTAGACTGACCTGGGAAAAAAGCAAGACCCTATCTCAGAAATAAGCAAACCAAAAAGGGCTGGGGGCATGGCGCAAGTGCATCTCAAGGGCAAAGCCATGAGTTGAAACCCCAGTACCACAAAAAAGAAAAGAGAACAATTTGGGGCCAAATAGTGCTATACACCTGCAACCCCAAGTGAGAGGCAGAAGCAGAAGGATCTCAAGTTCAAGGACAGACTGGGCCATAGTGAGCCCCTGTCTAAAAAAACGAGAGGAAGGGAGGGAGGGAGGGAAGGAGGAAGGAAGGAAGGAAGGATGGAAGGAAGGAAGGAAGGAAGGAAGGAAGGAAGGAAGGAAGGAGGAGGAAGAAAGGAAGGAAAGAAGGAAGGAGGAGGAAGAAAGGAAGGAAGGAAGGAAAGAAGGAAGGAAGGAAGGAGGAAGAAAGGAAGGAAGGAAGGAAGGAGGAGGAAGAAAGGAAGGAAAGAAGGAAGGAGGAGGAAGGAAGGAAGGAAAGAAGGAAGGAAGGAAGGAGGAGGAAGAAAGGAAGGAAGGAAGAAGGAAGGAAGGAGGAGGAAGAAAGGAAGAAGGAAGAAGGAAGGAAGGAAGGAGGAGGAAGAAGGAAGGAAGAAGAAGGAAGGAAAGAAGGAAGGAAGGAAGGAAGGAGGAGGAAGAAAGGAAGGAAGGAAGGAAGGAAGGAAAGAAGGAAGGAAGGAGGAGGAAGAAGGAAGGAGGAGGAAGAAAGGAAGGAAAGAAGGAAGGAAGGAAGGAAGAGGAAGAAAGGAAGGAAGAAAGAAGGAAGGAAGGAGGAGGAAGAAAGGAAGGAAGGAAAGAAGGAAGGAAAGAAGGAAGGAAGGAGGAGGAAGAAAGGAAGGAAGGAAAGAAGGAAGGAAGGAGGAAGAAAGGAAGGAAAGAAGGAAGGAAGGAAGGAGGAGGAAGAAAGGAAGGAGGAGGAAGGGAGGAAGGAAGGTGTTTTCTTCACTGGAGCATTTAGATTTCATTTATTTCTGTGGTGTGAGGTGTGGGGATACACCCAGGGACTCCCACATTGCAGGCAAGTGCTCCTCACTGAGCCGCGCCCAGGCATGGGATGGATTCTGAAGGTGGAGATTCAGTGTCTGCCGAAGGATGGAATGTGGCCAGATGAGAGGGCTCAAGGTGACCCCAAGGTTATGGGCCTGGGTCATAGGGCTGTTTCCTCCAATAGGAGAACAGGGGTGGTACCAGGTGGGAGGGGAAGTGTGGGTTTGGAGTCTGTTAATTTGGGGGTGCCTCTGACGTACCCAAATGTGTGTGAATCTGGTGCTGGGGAGAGACCGGGAAAGAAATTGACCTCAGAAGCATTTTCAGCAAAAAGGGTGGAACCCAAGGTCATGGCTGCTTCAAGTTTCATCCTTAGACTGTCTTGAATGGCTCTGTCTTCGTACCTTTACCTCCTGGGCTCACAGTTGCCTTGTCTTCTGCCTGGAATGGGAAACCTGGTGGCCATAGAGCCTTTACTCCTGGGGAGTCCTGAGCCCTGCTGGCTTGGGTCAGCCCCATCAGGGACAAGGTGGCAGTGGGGGTAGAGAGCGGGTCCTGAATGAAAGTAGAAAGTATGAGAACAGAGTTGGAAGGGCCTGAGTCACTTACTCACCAGCAAACATTTATTGAGTGACAGACCCAGGCCCCCACCCTTCGCTCGGGAAGCTCCTAGACCAACAGGGGAGGCAGGTGCTGGGCTCCCTTGTGCAGACTACACAGCTTTGTCCGGGTTCTCCCGAGGATGCTCCAGGGCTGGGCCAAGGTCTCCCTTTCGCTGTCTCAGGCAGGAAGGGACCTGTTGTGTAAGGCAGCAGGTTGTGTCCCTCCCAGCTCCCAGCACCAGGCAATCTATTCAGTCCCTTTGGCTTTGTGAATGTCCTCTGAGAACCTCCCTCCAGGGAGGCCCATTTTGGGCCTCACTTTCTGTACCCATGAGGTGGGGCAGCGAGGAGTCTTGGGGTGGCTCTGGAGCAGAGGGAGGGTGTAGTGAGGAAAGGGTGAACTAGCAGCCAACCCCCTGTTATTAAACCAGGCTGTGTGACCTTGTGCAAGTTACTTATCCTCTCTGGGCCTCAGCTGTGTCATTTGTGAATGGGGAGTAACGAAAGGACCCACCAGCCAGGCCTGGTGGTGCAGGCTTGTAATCCTAGCACTTGGAGGCTGAGGCAGGAGGATCTTGAGTTCAAGGCTACATAGAGAGACCCTGTCCCTCCAAAAAATCAAAACAATGAAAAGGACTGGAAGTTTGGGGGATGGTTAAGTGAACACAAGCTATTCTGAGACAAGGCAGTTGGGATGGGGAGGGGCAAGGCTGACCATCAGCACGGTTAAGATCTTGTCCACCTTTGGAAGCTTCTGGAACCTGCTGTGCAGCGGTGTCCTAGGGGTGTGCAGCTGGTCTGAAGTTGAGCTGGGGTCTGCCCGTCTTTCCCCATCTGTGGGGACCCCTGGTGATGTCTTCCACAACGGGGCCTCCTCAGACAAAACCTGAGGCTTCTGTTAGTACCTGGAAGCTGTGGGCCGTGGTGACCCAGGGCATGTGCAGCAAGCCTGAGCCTTGCTCAGGTGGCTGCAGTCCCTGGACCGAGCTCTGGGTCCTGGCGGGGAGCCAGAACGGTGGGATCTGGGCCGGGGTCAATGGCCCACCTCCTTCTGGCATGGCGGCTGGTGAGCTTCCTGGGGCTGGGGATTTACAGTGGGGCCAGGAGGGAGGGAGGCCTGGGGATCCAGTGTCACAGCCAGCCGAGGTGTCCTCATTTCTGCCCCCGTCCCTTTTCTAAGCTTCCTCCTGTTTCTGCTTTTCTCGTCTCTCTCTAGATCTTTCTGCATCTCCTTTTCTGTTTCTCTTTCACTCTGACTCCTTATAAAATATTAAATGTTCAATGTAATATTAAAGAAAACATTAAATATTAAATTTCTCTTTTTTAAAATATTGAAACATTCCACCTTGGCTACCTCTTTCTTTCATGTGGGCACGGATCCTTCTAGATCTCTAACATACTTAAATGCACATAAATGTGCAGCCTTTTAAAAATTCTTAAACAAATGGCAGTATTCTGTATACATAATTGTGCTAGAAATGTTTTCACTCTGCCATTTGTTGCAGGCCTCTGTCAGCAGGTTTCTGCGAGCCGTTGCCAAGTAACAAACATCCCCAAATGTAGTGTCAGAAGACAATTTAATGTTCATGATTCTGTGAGTCAGCTGAGAAGTCCCTTTACTATTCTCATGTAGGCTACCTCTGTTCTTTAAAGGTATTTGTGACAAGCCTTGCTATGCAGTCCATGCTGGCTTAGGACTCCAGAATCCTCCTGTCTTAGCCTCCTGAGGGCTGGGATCACAGGTTGTAGCCAACACGCTACCTCTTGAGGCCTCAGACACCTGCACGGTCAAGGCTGGAGGACCTGGGATGCCTATGGGCAACAGGTGCCGGCTGAGGGAGGCCTTGGGTCTCCTGTACAGGCATCTCTGCTTTTTGGTATCCTGGAAGCTTCAGGTTCTTCCATCAGGACAAGGTAGATATCACTGAGCTCCTTTTGCAATTAGCCTCTTAATTCTCACAACATTGTTCCATAATGTTTTTTTGTTTTGTTTTGTTTCATTTTTGGTCGAACTGGGGCTTGAACTCAGGGCCTTGCACTTGCTAGCACTTGAGCCACTCCACCAGCCTTTTTGTGATGGGTTTTTCGAGATAGGATCTTACAAAGTATTTGTCAGGCTGGGTTCAAACTGCTATCCTCCTGATCTCTGCCTTATGAGTAGCTAAGATTACAGGCGTGAGCCACCAGCACCAGCTTCCACCATGTTCTTGTGGTCAAAGCAAGTAAAAAGGCCTGCCCAGGACATGTGTATTGCAGGGTTGGGGGGGGTGGTGAGGGGAGGGTTGGACTCCCCTCCTTGCTGGGAAGAACAGAAAAGAATCTGTGGCCATATTTCATCTACCACTACCCAACATCTATGTAGCAAAAAGGAGCTCTGAAATTGACTGGAGGTGCCTGTTTTATGTAGTGGATTCCTGACAACAGGCAGCTAGGTTACTTCCAGTATTTCACAAACTAGGTCAGAGCGATGCACAAAGGCCAGTGGCTAAGTGGAACAAGCTCGTTTTATGCCCTTTTCTGAGCAGTCTGAGTCCCCAGCAAGTCAGTGTTGTCTTCTGGGCCTCATGGCTCTCGTTTTGTCTGTGGGCTTGACTGCAAAGCTCTGTGCTCTTAGCGGCCTCCCTATTGCCCTGTCACAGAGTGGATCTCAGGAGAGAGATACTTACCCTGAGCTACACAGCCAGTGGTGTGAAGAAAGCTGAGGCCAGGAGTCAGTGGCTGCACAGGTCACCATTTGTCCCCATCCAGTGCTGGGATTTGGGTGGAGTGTCGGGGGGTGCTGTCCTGAGGGGTGCCAGGGACAAATCTCATTCACATAGCAGCAGGAGCTAGGGGTCGGCAGCCAGACTTCCTTCTGCTGTTGTCTCCCTGCTCCCTCTGGAGCTCTGACAAGGTCTGGCTGCCCTTAGGGCTCACTGCTGTCTCCCACCAGACATGGGGACCCCTGGATTGTCCCTGGCCTTGGCCTCTGAGGTTGACCTGGGCAAGGCAGGTCAGGGGTCTGAAGGAAACAGTATGAGGAGCACTGTGCTAGCCCAGAGCTCCGTGAGACTGAATCTTGAAAAAAACCCATAACAAAAAAAAGGGCTGGTGGAGTGGCTTAAGGTGTAGGCCCCGAGTTCAAACCCCAGTACCGCAAAAACAAAACAAAACAAAACAAAAAAAAGCTAGGGTTAGGCAGGATCCCACTTTTCCCAAGACCAAGGCTAAAAAAGGCAAGATTCTGGGGCCTGGACACTTGAGGTTTGCAATTTTATTAAGAAAACAAACAAAAATCCAACCTACACAAAAAGAAGTCCCCTCCATGCTAGTGGCAGCTCCTCACAAGGGAGGAGTGACTCTGAGTCCAAGGGAACTGGCTGCTTGGCCCTGCCCAGTCCCATGGGGTCCCTGAGGTGGCTAGGCGTCCTGCTGCTGGATGAAGGGGTTGGGAATGGCCTCCATGCCGTCCTGCGGGCAGATGAGCACCACCGACGTGCCGCGGCACACCACAAGACCCAGCTGGCGCGTGTCCTCTGTGAGCTTGTACTGGTCATCAGGATCTGGGGAGGGACAGAGGGGCTGAGGATGGTGGCTTCCAAAGCCCAGAGAAGGCAAAGTTTCATGCCAAAGGCCTGGCAGTGGCCTCCCCTCCAATACTGTGAGTGATCAGGACCTCAGAGGAACTCGTCCTGCCCAGAATCTGGACAAGCAGCCTTCTCTGGAGATGTCTCCAGACAACAGGGCCACTGGCTCTGGAAACAATGGCACAGCTGCCCTCGTTCTGCAAACGAGAATGGGGAGGCCCAGGCACTTGAGCAAGCCAGCAGTGGCCCAGGGCAGCGCCATCAGACCAGTAGTTGAAATGAAAGCTATGGGGACCCAGAATTCTGTGAGATCCTCAAGTCCTGGGGGCTGTGGGGGAGGAGCCCAGGGAAGACCGCAAACTCAGGCTGCCCGTGAGGTCCCAGGCAAGTACAGTTCCTCATTATGGGGAGTCTGGAGGAGGGAGAACCAGGTGGCCAACGATTGAGAACTGCAGCCCACTTCAGGATCCAGCTCCGCCATGTTGAGGCCTTTGGGGACAATGCATGCTCTGGGCAGAGGGCTCTAGACCGGGTTGTTTTGGGGATAACAAGGAGCGCAAGCGCCTGGCCAAATGATGTGTGCAGGCTCTGCAGGACAAGGAGGGGCAGTGTCTACCACTCCCAAGGACCATGAAGGCTTCTTGCACTGTCCTAATGGCCCTTCACAGACAGGAAGGTTAGCTACCCAGGGGGCAGCACCCCCCCCCCCGCCACAGCCTGATGCCCACCAGTTGGGCAGGGGCAAAGCAAGTGTCAGCCGGCAGACCAATGGGTCCGTACTGAGCTGGCCTGGTCCCTGCCTAGGGCCATCTGTGTAGCTCTAGCCACTTCTGGTTAAGTTGGGCTGTGATGTTTCCAGAGTCTTGTCTCACTGTATGGATGGGCTCTGGGCCCAGGGGGCAAACTCTCCTTGCTGGCTTTGGGCATCCCTGACCTCAGGACATGGTGCAGATGGGTGGAGGTGGCAGGCCAGGCAGGGGCTGGGGCTGGGGCCTTGCTGAGGAGCATCCTATCACGGCAGGCTGCCCTGTTTCTGACAGTGCCAGCACTTCACAGCCTCTAAGGGATGCAACAAATATGCCTTCCCTGTCCAGGCCTGGGTGACCCAACACAGCCTGCTGTGTCTAACCACAGAGTGCCATGTGTCTGTCCCTCAGTCGGCAGTGGAGTGGCCCGAGAAACAGAACAGCCCCATGCTGGCTCACCTCGCATGTACTCAATGGTCCCGTCCAGCACAAGGTTGAGCAGTGGGTCGAACCCCTTCAGGATTCCACTGGCTTGGAGAAACCACCAGGAGAGGAGGAAAAAGAAAGGCGTGTGGTCAGCACTGGTCCTGGGGACAGGTCAGGGCTCTGGTAGCAACATGAGTGTGGGGAACCCAGCCACCTCCCAACTGTTAAAGTCACCGGACAAACACTCCCCACTGTGCAGGCCACTACTTAGCTCCACATTCCTGGTGTGGAAGTAGCCACAAAGGGCACATCAATTCACGGTGAGCTGTGTGACCATAAAACTATTTGTGGATACTGAAATGTGAATTCCCCACAATTTCCACATCACCAAATATCTTCTGGGTCTTTTTCCAATGATGTATAATTTATTTTGGGAGGGAGGGTGGGGGGACAGAACTGGGATTTGAACTCAGGGCCCAAGTGCTCCATCATCTGAGCCACACATGTCAATGATTCTTAGCTTGTGAGTCCTGTGAAAGCAGGCAGCAGTGTATCCACACAGTGAACAACCAGGACAAAAGGGGACAGAGGATGGAGAGGGACAGTCAGTACAAAGTTAGCTACCAGCTCAAGTTCTACAGCACAGCAGGACAACCGTAGTTGGTAATAACCTATGGTATGCAGAGACAGCAGAAAGATTGTGAATGTTCTTATCACAGACAAAGCATGAGTATATGCTAATTACCCTGGCGCGCTCACCATGCACTGTGCACGTCATCAAAGCATCACATCGATCCATCAATATGCACAATTATTATGCATCAATTAAAAAATACATTCTAGCTAGGCACCAGAGGCTCACACCTATAATCCTATCTACTCAGGAAGCAGAGATCAGGGGTCAAAGCCAGACCCAGGCAAATAGTTCATGAGACCCTATATTGCAAAAAACAATAGAAATAAACAAAAACATTCTAAACAGAATTCTAAACAAAAACATTCTAAACATTCACAATAGCCAAGTTATGGAAACAGCCAAGATGTCCCAGCACTGACGAATGGATTAAGAAAATGTGGTATCTATACACAATGGAATTTTATGCAGCCATGAAGAAGAACGAAATGTTATCATTCGCTGGTAAATGGATGGAATTGGAGAACATCATTCTGAGTGAGGTTAGCCTGGCTCAAAAGACCAAAAATCGTATGTTCTCCCTCATATGTGGACATTAGATCAAGGGCAAACACAACAAGGGGATTGGACTATGAGCACATGATAAAAGCGAGAGCACACAAGGGAGGGGTGAGGATAGGTAAGACACCTAAAAAACTAGCTAGCATTTGTTGCCCTTAACGCAGAGAAACTAAAGCAGATACCTTAAAGCAACTGAGGCCAATAGGAAAAGGGGACCAGGAACTAGAGAAAAGGTTAGATCAAAAAGAATTAACCTAGAAGGTAACACCCACGCACAGGAAATCAATGTGAGTCAATGCCCTGTATAGCTATCCTTATCTCAACCAGCAAAACCCCTTGTTCCTTCCTATTATTGCTTATACTCTCTCTACAACAAAATTAGAGATAAGGGCAAAATAGTTTCTGCTGGGTATTGAGGGGGGGAGCGGGAGGGGGTGGAGTGGGTGGTAAGGGAGGGGGTGGGGGCAGGGGGGAGAAATGAACCAAGCCTTGTATGCACATATGAATAATAAAAGAAAAATGAAAAAAAAAAAAAAAAAAAAAAAAAAAAAAAAGAACTAAAACCTACACACACAATGTGGAGGGACTTTGTGGACACCATGCACTCAGAGAAACAGACACAAAAGGCCCCATGGCATGTGACTGTATCCATAGGAAATGTCCAGAACAGGGGAAGCTAGAGTCAAGAAGTGGACTCACGTGGGCCAGGGGCTGGGGAGGAAATGGAAGTTAGTGTTTCATGGGCCAGAGCTTCAATTCTTGATGATGGAAAGTTCCAGAGATGGAGGGTGGTGGTGGTGGCATAAGGTGAAGGTATGCACCCCTCTGGGGGCCACCCTCCAGCTAAGCTACCTTCTTCCTTACATGCATGGGTATCCTGCCTTTCCTGTGTCTGTTGGAAGACAGGGGCTTGGCGCAAGGTCTCAGCTGTGCAGCCTACACTAGGGCAAGGCTGGACTCTACCCAGCACCACCCTGCAGTGCTACAGGGCAGGGGTATGCCCCTGACAGCTCTCAAACTAGACCAGGTCCATCACCTGTTAAAAATTTTATTGGCACACCTGTGATCTGTGGCTGCAAAGGCAGAGCTACTGAGTCAGAGCCCACCTGGGCTGCACAGCCATATAACCTGCTGCTTGGCCCTTCACCCCAGGCCCTGTGGCCCCCCTCCCACACAATGAAGATTTTCATAGCACTAGCCCAATGGTGTCACAGACAGCATTGGATGTGCGCTGGGCACCTGTCTCTACCCTGCCCCCATCAGCCTGCATGTGCTAGTTGGCCTCTGTCCAGCCTAAGCAGGCAGCAGGCAGGTCTCCAAAATAGTCACATCCACTGTCTGAGCGACACACCTGTGTGAGCCTGGCTCAGTTGTGGGTTGGAACCTGTGACTCTGGTGTGGTTGTCACTGCCAACATCAGGTCATGTGTCCCAACATTAGGATGCCAAAGGAACTCTGCAGCTATGATTCAGGGTTTGGGTCAATCCATAGAGAGATGATCGTGGGTGGGCCTGGCTGAATCAGGTTAAGACCCTCAAGGACAGACAGGGCCTCTCTGGCTTGTTTTGCAGGACAAATGTTTGCTCAAGGAAATTATGGCAGGAACCAGCTGTCAAATGCAGAGAGCCTGGAAGCAGCAGGGTGGGGTGAGGGTGCCCCCGGCCAGCAAATGTTGATGCAACGCTTACTCTGTGCCAAGAGCTGCCTCAATGACTGGACAAGCTTTTAGATCTTTCATTGTTGTTGCCACCTGGTGATGTAGGTGGAATTAGGCCCATATGACAAATTAAGAAAACTGAGGCTCAGACAGAGCAGCTATATGCCCAAGTCCCACAGCCAGCATGTGGAAACGCTGTGTCCTAACTCAAGCTATGTGGAACCAGAACCCAGGGCCCACTGTGGACTATGCTCTCCCTGCCAGACTGCTTAGCCCAGCACCTGGTGGTCCCTGCCCTGAGAGACCCTTCTCCATAGGTTCCATGCAGAGTAGACGCAGAGTTAAGCATGAGCATGCAAAGGGTGACAGGTGCTACTGGAAGCTTGTGACCTGGGAAGGAAGATCACAAAGGCTTCTCACAGCAAGACCCTGGAGACTGGGTAGGGTGGGAAAGTGACTCTGAGAGTTCACCTGGTAAGAACATTTAGGCAGTGGGGTCATGTGCCTGGATGCACACAGCAGTCCAGAGGCCTCACTCAGAGACCATTGTTCAGGTCTGGACTTTACTCTGGAACAATGGGGAGCCACAGATGGTTAAGCAGGGAGTGAGGACATTCCATTCCTAACTGGTTTCTTGGGACACCAAGTAGATACTGGCAAGAGTTGTTTTTCCCAGCCAGAGGTGATCCTGCCTCAGGAGACACGGGGTGATGTCTGGGGACGTCATGGTTGTCACGTGTTGGGGGGGTGTTCCTGGCATGGAGTGTGTATGTTGCTCAATACCCTGCAGTACCTAGGATGGCTACCTCATAGTAAGATCTTGTCCCAGTATCCACAGTGCTGAGGGGAGACCCTGGGTGGGAGCTATAGAGACAGGACTGCATGGGAGGCAAAGTTGTGAATCTGAATCCAGCTGCGTTACTTTGGGTTGTTGGTCCTCCTCTCCTTGGCTCAGTTTCCCCACCAGCAATATGGGGCCACCAGTTCAAGTTTCTCAGCCTCAGTAGGACAGCAGAGGTGGTCCTCGTTCAGCACTTCAAACAAGGTGCCCCAGCAGGTGCTGGTGGCTCATACCTGTAATCCTAGCTACTTGGGGGGCTGAGATTAGGAGGCTTGCAATTTGAGTTTATGAAACCCCGCCAACTCCAAAATACACAGAGCAAAATGGACTGGAGGTGTGGCTCAAGCGGTACAACACCTTCTTTGCATGTGTGAAGCCCTGAGTCCAAACCCCAGATCCACCAAAAAAAAAACAACCAAACAAACAAGGCGCTAACCCCCAGGTTAATCCCTTCCTCAGTGCTGCCCTTAACTATCTCCTTTTCATTAGTTAAGGGAGAGGCCTCACCTTCCCGGCCTCCCTGGAACTTCACCCTGATTGTCTTGTCAATGTACTTGGACAAGTCCAAAATGCTCTCTTTCTTCTTCTTCTCTTTGTCCTGGGGGAAAGCATAGCGCCTGAGGTGAGGAGAGTAGCCTTATGCGGGCTCCCCTGTTCCGAAGACACTGTGTCCCCACAAGCACCTGCTGCTGCTCTTCTCAGCAACTCCCGTCCCCATGACCCCTCCTCCCCCGGCAGATCCCGGTCTCCATATCCCCGAGGGCCGCAGCCCTCCATCGGGAGCAGTAGCCCCCTGTTGTCAGGTCCCCCAGGGCTGCAACCTCTCCTCCATTCTTATGCCCCCCCCATCCGCAGGTCCTGTCTCCATATCTCCTTGGTCTGCAAGTTCCTGTCCCCATGTCCCTCCTGTCCATCGGTCCCCGTCTCCTTGTCTCCTGAGTCCGCCAAGTCCCTGCCCATGTGTCCGGGTCCACAGCTCCCCTTTCCCATGTCTCCCGGCCTTCGGGTCCCCGTCCCATGTTCCCCTGCTCCTCCATCCCTCTGTCTTCGGGCCTGAGTTCCCCAGGCCCTACCTTCTACTTCTCCTGTCCCTCCAGCCCTCATGTCCCCCACCCCACTCTCCAGGAGCGCTCACCGCCATCTCGCCGCCCCGCGCTGCTCGGCACAGGCCCGCCCCGCGCCCTTTGACGCTGACCCGCGCAGAGGCGCAGCGCATGCGCGGCGAGGCGCCCCGGGCGTTGCTGGGAAACAACTGGCAGCTGCTGCGGAGGGAACAGCAGACATGGCGGCGGCGCTAGTGCGGCTGGTGACGGCCTTTCTGCTCCTCGCCGCCCAGGTGAGGGCTGCGCCGACCCCACAGCCCCGCATTTTCGGCCTCGGCTGCTGAGCCCTCGGCCCGGAGTTCATGCTGGACCCCCGCCCGATCAGACCTGGGAGGGGCAGCGGCAGCGTCTGGCATCCGCGCGCCTGGAGCCCGGCCGTGACCTGCCGCTGGTTCGCGGCTCCTCTCCCTGCTCCTCCCGCGATAGGACCTTCTCTCGCTGCACGGGCGCACTACTCACGCGGCTGAAGTTTGCGTCCCCCAGCCCCGCCTCCCTGGGTTCCCCCAGCCGATGGCCGTGGCAGGTAGCTGCTGCCTGCCCTTAACCTCAGTCTCCCCTTATGCCAAACGGGCATGTCCTAGGTAGCCCTCCTTCCCGGGATGCGGGAAAGGCCCGGGGCGGGGGGGCGCGTCTAGCGTGTTCCCCACAGACTGGCACATAGGACCGCCCGCCCCATATTTTGCTCCGTGACCTTGGCCAGGGGCGTTCTGGTTCTGAGCCGCAGTTGCCCTCTACAAGAGGGAGACAAGTATCTGGTATGTGGGTAGCATGCACAGGTGTTGTGATCAGTGCGTGGAACGGGTCATTTAACAAGAAGTCTGCCAGGTTCTAACGGGAACAGTGCCCAAGTCAGCTAAGGCAACCCTGTCCCTCCTTGGTTTTGCAGCTCAGGGAATGGGGCCCCTGGCCGCCCTACAAACGCAGCCATTAACCGTGACCCACTCTTAGCATCTAACTCTTAAGATGTCTTTCCCATCTGGCTGCTTCTCAGTCCCCACTGTGCAGCTCCCGGTGGCCCGCCATTCTTCCTATGGCTGCTTTTGTCCCCCACATCCCTAGCCCATTCTCTACCAGGCAGGAGCGATCTGTTTCAATGCATGCCAGATCTTGTCGCATCTTGCAAGCTGTCCAGTGACATGCTTCTGTGACCTGGCCACTTGAGAAGCTGCCCTCTTGGACAAATGAGGTTCAGTAAGGCTCTTTGCTCTCTGGTCTTTTCTGAGAGCAAAGAAATGACCCAGAATGTTCCTGGTCACCCTCCCAGTCTTGGCTGCCCTGCCTTCCCTGAGAGGCCCCTTAGGACCCCCACCCCCACTTCCCCAGCTGCTTGTCCAGCTGCCTGGACTTCCCCCATGGGTGGCCTGTGCCTCCAGACCACTGGTCAGCTTCATCAGAGGGAGAGACTTTGCATTCTCCAGATAGTTTGAACAAAAGAAGAGATGGCTGTACGGTTTGCCTGGGAAGGCTTTTCAGAGAAGGGCCACTAAAGGGTGTCTGAAGGATGAGTAGTTCTCTGGGGACAGGGAGGGGTAGGAGAGAGTGCCAGGGGAACCAGGAAGGGGGGGCAGCTGGTGAGAGCTGGTGGCTTTACTTGGAGACAGTGAGGAGCTGGCACATAGGGAGATTTAACACTTGCAGGGAGAGCTTGTCCCTGAGAAAGATGTCCCCACAAAGGACATTCTTCCAGTGGGTCTTGAGGGGAGGGCAGGGCAGGGGCCCAGAGGAGAGGCACCCTAGAAGTGGCTCCAGGCAGAGGGCAAGGATGGTGTCAGAGTATTCGGTCTCCAGGCTGGCCAGATGAAAGCAGGTGATAGCAGGTTTGTGTGCCAGGGCCTTTGGACTTTATCCTGGGCAGGCCGAGGGCTCTGAACTTTATCCCTAGAGCAGGAGAGCAGGTCCCCTAGCTCTTCTAGAAGCTGCTCCTGAACCCAGGCAGGGGCTGGTGTTCTGGTGGTGGTGGGAATATGAGACCATTGTGCCTCTGGGCCAGAGGCTGCATTCAACAGCCCTAAACTCGGAAACACTTGTGACCCTGAGTGGGAGCTCTGACTTCCCTAGTTATCTATCATGCACACCCTGTTAACCACCAGAGGTGGTACCACTCTGCATGGCGCCAGTGTGCATGCCTGAATATCTCCACCTTCCTCCTCGGGCACCTGGGGCCTCTCCTAGGGTCTGGGCACACCTAGCAGGAGGCTGCTCCTACTGCCTTAGTTCTAAGACCCCCGACCCCACCGAGATTGACATTTCGTGATTCTAAAAGCACGTGCCCCTCTAGCATCTCAGTGTGCTTTGTGAAGTACTTAGGCTGCGACTTCAAGCCTGTCCTCGGTCCTACCTCGACGGCCTCGGTTTCTGTGACCTGACTAGGAAGTGGGTACCTTTGGTCCCCTGTCCAGTTCCTTTAATCCAGTAGGCAGGGAACCCTCAGAGTGCAGGCTTTCTCTCATGGCTGGGAGCAGGCCTCAGGCTATTTGAATGGAAAAAGCAGCTTGGGGGCACAGGCAAGGAAACTCATGAATGTGCTTTTGTGCTCTTAAATGGCTGTTCTGAGGAGAAGCGGTTCTATCCACTTCTGTTTGACACAAAAACACTTCTCACTGAAAGCTGTGACCCTGTAGAATGGGGTTGGCCGTGTGAGTGACTTGGGCTCTGAGTCACATGGGCGCAGGTCTGTATTGCAGCTACTCACCTCTGCTTGTGTGGTGGAGAACTGGAGACACAACCTACAGGATGGACTTGGCTGTGTTCCAGTAAAGCTGTCTTTACAGGGTGGGTGTAGTTCTGACCTCTGTGCCAATAAATTCCTTCTTGGAGCCGTGTCACAGACTCTGGATGTCAGGTGTACCTGTTGGAAAGGGCTACACTGAGGCGCCATCAGTTTGCTGGGGAGAACCTGAGGGAGGGGACTTCTAATTCTGCTCCAGGTGGAGAGAATGGGAGGAGGGACGTGGGTGATGGTAGGGGAAGGAAGCCACTTTAGCCAAGTGCTCTGAGGACCCTCGAGGCCTCAGCTGCCCTCCTGTCCTTCCCTCCAAGTGACTGGGACAGGGCCCATTCACCCAGCCCAGCCTGTTGACTTCCTGGGGCCACACCCAGCAGCCCCAGGAGGCAGACGCACCATTATCTTGTTGACCATGGCGCCAGGGCCCAGCCTTTCTTGGAGACGACAGAATCAGCACAGTGCAGAGCAGCCAGCAGCAGCGCGGCTGGGCCTTGCTCTCAGCGGCCCAGGCTGGCCTGGAAATCATGATCTCCCTGCCTCAGCCTCCCAGGCATAGGGTTACAGGCATGGCCAACACACCTAGTGACTTCCATGTTCTTGCTGGATGTTTGGGCTCCTTGGGATCCTTCCATCTGCTGCTGCTGCCCACAGAGCTGGGACGGGGTGTGTGTGGCAGGGGGGACGACACAAGACATGAGGCCCTGGCTAATGTCTCTTGCCCCTGGTAGCATGTACTGGTAGCCCCATGCTGCCCTAGGGGTGGGCCTGTTCACTAGAAGTCTGGAAAGGAGCAAAGGGAGAACAGCTGCCTTTTATGTGCTGGTTACCCTCCTTCCCAGATGCTGTGAGACCTGAGCGCACAGGGTGGCCCTGGTTCTGCCATTCTCAGCTGCCCACTGTGACCCAGTGTCCTTTGGCTCTTTTGGTCCATCTACTTCCTGATGGGATATTGGACGGTGGTCCCTCTGGCCTATGCTCTCAACTGATTATGTGACAGGCTGTGACCTGGGCCTGTGGATTAAGAGCTGACCCCACCTACTGGGGTGTCAGAAGCTTGCTCAGAACTTCACCTAGCCCCAGCCCTGCTCTCCGCCACTCCAGGAGCTTCTCCCAGGGTGCTGTCCCCACTGATCTGGGAGGCCCCACAAAGGGGTGCTATCTGTTTCTTTTAATGCAGAGACCTGGTACTAACAGAGGTGACCAGACACGATTGTGGTCACAGCCTGGGTCTCCCTATTTGTCCTGCCAAGAGCAGGATGACATCCCCGGCCACCATGGGAGTGCAGGTGCCCCTTCCTGAGATATGCTGGGGTTCTTTGGACCCTGTATCTCATGGGGTCTCTGATTGCCTCCTTATCACTGCTGCAGGTCACCTGTGAGTATGGCATGGTGCACGTGGTCTCCCAGAGCGGAGGCCCCAAAGGCAAGGATTACTGCATCCTGTACAACCCACAGTGGGCACACCTGCCACAGGACCTCAGCAAGGCGGTGAGTACCTGCCGCTCTGACTGTGCCCTCTGCACCGCTCTGACCAGCCATCTCACCTGCTGTGCCGTCTGCTGTTCCCATCTGGCCTGTGCAGGAGCAGCCTGCAGGAAAAGACTTGAGTCAGGATGGTAGGGAGCCACACAGAGGCAAGAAATGGTCCTGGCTGGGCAGCCACCTGCCACTTGCCTAGGGCATCCTTGGATGAGCTCCACGCCCCTCATACCTCAGGCTCTGTGGTCATAAATGACAGCTGCCAAGGGGGTGTTGACAGACTGCCCTGCGGGAGATGTGGCTGCACTGCAGTTGGTGGAGTACCATTGCTACTGCTCCACTCCAGCGTCTGTGGAGGGTCAGGACAGAGAGGGGTCTTGGGGAGTGATAGCAGTGAGGCCCTGCTCAGCCTTTTCCTGTACTGTCCTCCCTCCCCACGTGGCCTCCACTCTAGGCCCACGGCTGACTGTCCATCTCGCACCTCTGAGACTCATGCGTCCTTCTCTGCCCATGTCCTCCTGTCCCTCCCACCCATGTTTACAGCAGACCCAGGAATACTGGGGCCCATGCTCCAAGTGGGCCACTTCTGTTTGCTTTTCAACACACGTGTGAGCTGGTATGTGTGTCATGTGCACCCACGTGTGCAAGTGAGTGCATGCACCAGTGTGAGGACGTGTTAGGCATGTGTGTGTTGGTGTTGAAGCTTGCGTGAGCGCACATGTGCACGTACGAGCAGGTGTTTGTGTCTGCACAGAT